ATGTTTTGCAATTTTTTTCATAGACTGTAGTTATTGCGATTGTACATCAAGTATGCCGACAATATCATCATTGTTATTATTGTTGATATTTACTTTGTTTTTCATAATAGTACCTCTCTTAAGCTAGCAAGACCAAATTAGCAAAATTGATCTGGACCTATTGTATTATTTAGTACTTATTTTGCACTAATTTGCACCACAAAAAAATTGTACTACGTGCCGTTTAAAAAAAACACGTGACGCTGCTAGCTTTAATATTAAGCTAGCAAGACCACTTTTTGTTTTTGAAGAAAATAAATAAAATTAAACGGAAATTGATTAATTCGAATTTGTACTAATTTGCACCACTAAAATTAAATAAAAAAAATCGAAAATAGCTACTAAAATCTGTACCCCATGACAGCCGGACCGCCCTAATATGAGGTCCGGATCGATTTTGCTAATTTGGTCTTGCTAGCTTAATGAAGGTTATAATAGTTAAATTTAATATTTGCACAAGTACAATAAAATATTGCAATAAAGTTTTGTATAATTCAAATTAATGATATAAAAATATTTTCTATACAAAATTATATTTTCATACAAAGTATGCAAGCTGAAAGTAAATAAAATGTGCGAGGAAAATGCGATACTGGTTTTATTAATGGGTTTTTAATTATCATACGTTAAATTGTATAATAACCTACGGTCACAAAAATACACTCCAATTTACTCGCATATAAACCAGAAAATTCGTGTAAACACCTAAACGGGCAAAAAGAGAAAACAAAGAGAGGAAAAGTGCTCACGATTAAACCAGTGAAAAAAAGTCACGAAAAACCCAATGGAAAAAGAGCGTGGAAAAATAAAAAGACATTGGGGAGACCTCCAATTCCACGGTTAAACGGTGTTCGGTCAGCGCGCGAGCGAAGCTCTGCGGAGCTTTTAAAAATATAAACATCTAGTCATTAAAGCTCGCCACCGCACGCCATCCGATCCTGAGCGTATTTACATTTCTTTTATTAAACGGCGTTGTGCCGGAAGTCGGGAGACGATTTATTCCACGGATTATATCCACCGCCGGTCTTCTGCAACGATAATAAATACTTAGAAAAAATTAAATCGCTTTTAATGTATGTATATATAAATTACTCTGAAAAGGTGAGAGAAAATAGAAAAAATATCTACAAGACCAAATGAGCGTAGCATTGCTTGAGATTCTCAAAATGTTTTAGCAAAGAAATATGAATACGAATTATTAAATTATTAGTATGTCGTATTTTAAATAATTGTATTCTCTTCGGATGTGTCTCTGAAAAGTTTTAACCCTGATCGTTTTGCATACCAGGAAGAGATGATAGTCCAATGATAATGAAACACAAGTAAACTAAATTGTCCACACCCCATAAAGATAAATTAATTACAGAAGTATAATTAGTTTTCCTAAAGCAGAAGTATTCCACGCATACACAAAAAAGTCTGAAGTAATATTTCGTAATATCATGAATTAATAAAACATCTGTTGTATGTATATATGCACGTCTATTTATATATATTTATATACATATAACAAATGAACATTAAGATTTCATTATCTTGTCCGTGGTGCTACGCTATTTGAGTCACGTTCGCCTGTTGGACTTCCTGCTTGCTATGAAAAGGGTTCTGCGTATAAAAAAGCGCAAGATTGAACGAAAAAAAGAAAACATTCTTATAATAAGATATCATTATGCCAAGAATTGTAGTGGCGTAGTAGCTACACGAGCGCCTAATAACCGTGATTCTCCAATGATTCATAACACAAGCGTTACATGATGATTTCGGATCATCGTAGCTTCTAATCTTACCTATTCATCAAAAACCATATTTCCATTTTTGTGGTCTGTATAAATTAAATTATGGATAGCAATGAATAAAAAAATAAGCTTAAAAAAATACGAGGCATTTGCCAGATTTTGAGATAAATTCATGTTATTTAAATGTACGAAAATTGGGGGCTACTCTACATTGCGGTTTGATTCTCATAAACGGTTCGGACAAGTAATGAGTGTTTATTAACAACAGTGATGCAGAATAACATGAATGGTATAGCATTAAATTTTAAAGTCAATTGCTTTGAATTTAATTTTATATTATTGTAATTATTATACCTATCAAAATAGTGATTCTTTAAATATTTTTGTATTATCTTTTCGCGTAGCCAATAACTAGCTTTACTTTGCATAAAATAGAAGCGTAATACTTGACGTGGATGCCATAGCACATAGATTAAAATATGATAATCCTGACTATACTTACGAATGATGTTTAATCAAATTTTGGATACCACAATCAATTTAAAAGTAAAATCACTGTCAATTTTTTTACTTTGCTTAAACTGTTACTGTCCGTTAAACGTGTTAACACGTTAATCGCCATGTCAGTCATATGTGGCTAAAGAAAAGAAGTTCTACATGACCACGTCAGACATATATGTCTGACATACGCAATTTGGTAGAAGACCATGTCAATAACAGATAGCCAGCGCGTACCAGACTATATCAGTCATATATGTGTGACGTAAAAAATAGTGTTTTTCAGGAATTTTGGCAAAAGAAAAAAAAACTAAATTATCTAATAAAGTTACCATGGCTCGTGTGATTTTTTTTACACTTATAAACTATGTGGGTTTACTATTATTGAAACATTTGCCACAAACAGTTGTCTTCCAACACTATAAGTAAGAATTGTCATACTCGAAAGCTTGCAAAAACAAGCGTCTCTCTTAACAACATCTGTTGTTAACGAGTAACGTTGATAGTTTTTTTTATATTATAATACAGCGTGGCAGCATGTAATTGTTAAAAGCCATAGAATAGTAATTTTAACTGGATTTAAGTATCAATCATATAGTTAATCAGCGAAAGATTTTATTATCATCGTATATTAATCGTTAATTAGAATCATTTTTTATTGCGTTTTGATTCTGGCGGTTAACGATATTCATAATTGCAACTAATTACAGTCGACAGTTGTCGCATTGATATCTTCGTACTGTATTCGCAAGAATCTCAACACTCGGTGATTTGTGCACGAGGGCGAGCTGAGGTGATTTTTTTCTCCGTGAATGCTATCTCAGAGAGAAGGGTTAGGGCACGATGTTTTACCCTCACACCCTTACTGAATCTTATTTAAGAAAAACTTCTGGAAAGAAATTAAAGGTCGCACTTCTTCGTTTTCTCCTTTAATTCTCATAATCCTTCATTCGCCACTCTCGGCGTCTCACTGCAATGAGAATGCTGCACACGGGGCTCTACGCGTATCATTTTTTCTTTATTTTTTTTGGGAAAATTGTGAATTGCTCTCTTGCCAACTTTTCCAGGACGTATATTCCCGTGAATTATTGCCGCTGTCGTTTTAAATATTCTGAGAAAATGCTTTTCGACGAATGCTCATTATATTAGTTGATAGGCCTAATATTTTAATCCATACTGTGACATAATATTATCATATATATATATATATATATATATATATATAATATTGAGTATTATATTGATCATCTAAAATTTTCAATATGATGATAAATAATGACTTACAAAATTCTCTATAGCTTTAGTCAGCAAATGAATGAATATATATATATATATATATATATATATATATATTACTCATTTTAAACAAATGAAATTATTTTTCTGAAAAAATATTTACTAACAAAAGTTTTGCGCAATCCATTATTGTGAATGCAACGATAGATTTTCCAGTAATTATTTAAAAATTGAACATTGCGCGTCGTACAATGAAAATATCCAGTTTGTAATTTTTTTTATTACAATACAAGATAGCATATAAATATAAATGAAGAAAAATCAGTTTTACACATACACACACACACATATATATATATATATATATATATATATATATATATATATATATATATAATAAAAATGTACAAGCCAGGTAAACTTTTCAAACTGCCTCCGGTTAGTATTACCATAATTAAATGTGTAATATTTGAAAAAGTGAAATTGTTGTGTTTCATAATATGCATTCGTATTTTCAGTTTATATAACATATAAACATTTGTGTTGCACTATATTTCATTTTATTTGAAAAAGTCTTACACTATTTGTAATAGTATATCCAAATCTATTGATTTTATTAAACGTAATATTAATTACATATAAAAACGTGTATTATTTTGTTTCTAACATACCATTGTTTCCAATAATACTGCATGATTGTAATTGTAATTATAATTTATATAACCTGTTTTCTTTGAAAACGTACAATTTTCTTCTATAATATTGATACTGATTTTCAATGAAAAAACTCACTTGAAATTTCATAAAATATTGATTATAGACTTAATCAAGATTAATATCATTATTGCAATTAACGACATAACACTTCATGTAAACTCAAAACTCAGTACATAGTGTTAAAACATTTAACCCTTTCCACTCGCGAATTGCGAGATTAATATGTATTTTGCCGCCGAAGCGGCTTCCGAGTGGAAAGGGTTAATATTTTTGACATCATCAAAGCAATACTCTTATGAATTATAGAAGTAAAAACTAAATAAGACGATGAGCTTTACCATTTTTTATAAATGTAAACTCAAAATTAACAATAGAATAACTAAACTGTGTGATTATCATAGTTCATCAAATCTATTACAGCGCGCGTTACTTATATATCACAAAGACCAGAGAGTAGGATGAAGTACTTGGTACTCGATATTGACCATAAACTTAACAAAATACACTAATTTCTTTTGATTTTTTGATCCTGGTTTAAAAATTACTAGCATGCTGACCTTTATAAATTACCTTTTTTAGTTCGTTTCCAGTGTTGCTGCTTGGCACGTTTTGGTCTTGCTTTAGTGCAACCTAAAAACATAATTATGATCCAAGTGATACTCAGAAACTCTATCCGTAATATTTTTGCTAATTGTTATAATGTTTTGTGTTGATTTATGTTATAACTAAATTATCAATTACCAAATTCATACCATGTTTACCGATATTCTGCAGATATTCATGCACAAAAGTGCGATGCAGATGCACGCTAGGGAAATGCAGCGAGGTGTCGCCGGAGTAGCTGGAGGAATGGGAGTCGTGGGCATGGGAGCCGAAGTCAAACCGCACCAGTGCCAGCAGTGCCTGAAGAGTTTTTCAAGCAATCATCAACTTGTGCAGCACATACGAGTGCACACGGGAGAAAAACCTTACAAGTGTTCCTACTGCGACCGACGGTTCAAGCAGCTATCCCACGTGCAGCAGCATACGAGGCTCCACACAGGTGAGAAGAAATAAAAAATTAATGAAAAAATTAAATCGTCGAAAAAAGCCCATATTTTGAAACAATTGTTAATTTAGATATTATAACATTAGGTGTATTTATAATATCATCCTGTGGTTTAATAACTTTCTTCGGCAAATAGTAATAGCACTGTTGAACGAAAGCCGCGAGATAATATTTTGATATAATACATCCCATGTACAGCGTAAACTCGTTCATCAAAAAATTAAGTAACTTAAATCATTTAAATTTACAATTTAATCTACTAACCGATATATATATATATATATATATATATATATATACATATATTTGATTTTGAAAACAAAATAATGAAAACACCGATACTAAAAAGTAGTGAAATAGAACATTGCGTACATACAAAACTCACGCATTTTTCTATACATTTTATATCATAAAATATAAAAAACACATACGCGAAATAATAATCTTAAAATATCTCAACATTGGCATTCAAATTTTTTTAATCAATAACCACTTTCTATAAGTCTTTCTTTCTATAAATTGCACTTATTATTGCCTCATCGTTAAAAGAAAACATTTTTACTCCTTGCAAAATAAAAGTTTTCATTAAAAATCATGTTTTCTCTTTTTATATACGCGTGCGTATATTTATATTAATATTTCATAATATTTTGAACTATTTTTCATAGTATTTTTCATATATTTTTATGATATATTAAAGTATTATGTCGTTATTTTGTTTACTATGTGAATATCACTAATAATATTGATTCAATAGGCAAATAAAAGTAAATGTTATTTAAAAATCTTAACGTCACATATAACTAACGAAATTTTACGAAAATTAAACACACTTAAGATAATTATTTAATTTTTTTAACTTGCTAGTTTTAATGTATGCTATAAATGATTCCCAAAATTCAGAACTATATTATATTATCACAATTTCCTTATGAGGATAATTGATATGCACACAGATGGGCTCATATAATGATCACATAATTCATCAAATCATTGATAATAATAAGGGCACCCAAATTCTTCCAAACTAGAGGACCTGGTGATATACTTTATAAATGATTAGAATATTTAAATTGATACACTTATTAAGATACACATATTAATGTTTAAGAAATACATAAGTTCATAATGGACTAAGCTTTTCCTAATAACGGTGGAAGCACTTACACGTGCACCTAATATGAAAATCAGTTTTTTCTTAAATAAATAAAAAAGATCTAACCAGAATTATTGAGTAAGTAAAAAAGTTTGTATGTGTCTATTATAAAGTCGTCTCTTCTACAAAAATCCAGGATTTACGTCGAAAATCCGGGACTGTCCCGGCCAATCACTTTAAAATTAGTACTTATTGTTAGTAAAATATTGTCGTCAGTACATAATTTTTTGTAAATTGTTAATCTAACGTATTTTTTACAAAGAATTTTAGTTTATGATAAAATAGTACCGGACGTTGTGATTGTGCGAATATAACATCCTTTAATTTAAATTTCTAAATTCAAATTTAAACTTGCATGGGAAAAATACGTACTGGAAATTAAAATTAACAAAAAAAAATTATTATATTATGTTAATTATATTATTATAATTACGTTAGGAACGTAGACGAAGTGAAAATCTCCTTCCGTGGGCATTGCCGCAACGTCAATTTCTAATATATGTAGTTTACTTATAAAGAAGAGCGGTTGACCGGTGGGTTACCCTTTATGTTCAGGCTATTGTTCAGGATAGAATAGGTGTTCAAGAAACACTCATGAATCACGTCGTTCTGATCATTGTTAAAACTAGTGGTGCATGGCATCGTGCCTTAAGGCAAATTGCTGAAAGATTCAATTTTCTTTTAGAACTCTGAAAAAAATACGATTTGTGAGATTATTAACAATTTTTGACAAAATTGACCTTTTGAGAAAGTTGATTTTTTTTAGACTTAGAAATATTTTGGAAATTTTGAACTTTTCTTCAAAGCAATCGCGATACGTAAGCTGCGTAGAAACGAAATATCGAAGCGCGTGAGCGCCGCGTCGCTGTAGAACGGATAAACATTGGTACGGAACCCATAGAAAAGTGAATCGAATGTTTTTTGAATTATTCAAATCGGTTGACCCGTGTTCCTAAAATTGTCGACAAAAATTTGTATCCGCACACACACATACATCCATTTTTTGTACGGTATGCCAAATGTTCAGAAGACCCTAAAACGTAAAGATATGTAAAATATTTTATTTTCGATTTTTTGCGATTGCTATAACTTATGCTACGGGAAGTTTAAAAATTGGGAATACAATTTACATTGAATATTTTGCCAATATAATAATTGTTTCGAAATGAAGCATTTACTTATTGAAATTTACAATCAAATGAACAAGGTTATACATAAATCATAAGGCAAATGTAATTGATTATTGAACTTGTATAAAATTACTTTTCGTCCATGATGCTGATGATGAGAATGGCACGCTTTTTAATTGTTTCGTTCAAAGATCGTCGCTTTTGTTCAAATTATATGTAACTGACAACCGATGAATATGAGCAATAAAATATCATCGCTTATCTTATCTTTGTGACCTGATTTTCAGAATTGCAGACTGCACATTACCACAATAAACATGATCAGCGCTCGCGCATATTGTATAACCTCGCGTTTTTATTTTCGAATGTGGTGGTTGGCAAGGCTAGCAGTGCTATGCCTGCGCGATGTTTACTTATTGCAAGGATGTATTCGAGAGATATACCGCAGACAATGAAACGAAAACATGCGAAATAATCAAAAATAGCTTCAATAAAATTTTGTGCGGTTCAAGGTGGGGCACTAAAGCAACGTTAATCACACTGATTCAAATATCAGATTCATATTTTAAACGGTTCCCGAATTAAAATTATTACTGTTTTCTTTCTTCCATGATTCTTACTTCCCGAAGAAGGAATTTATTTTTGCGAAAAAATCCGATTTGCTAATATTATGTTTTATCGACGTTCCAAGTCATTCTGAACCAAAAAGGACCAACTTTGATAAACGTATGTATATATGAGCCAATTTTTGACTTCGTCGGCAGATTTCAAAAATTTAAAATCCATTCGATGGAACTCATATTATAAACGGATTTAGAATTAAAATTCTTACTATTTACTTTCTTCCATCATTCTTACTTTCGACGTTTCAAGTCATTCTGAACCGAATAGGACCAAATTTGTAAAAAGTATGTGTTTGTGAGCCAATTTTTGACCTTTCGTCGGCTGGACCGATTCAAAAATTTAAAAGCCATTCGATGTAACTCGATCTTGACTAACGCTTATTATGTTTGCGTGACGATCAGCTGAGCCGTTTCTTAGTAATTAGCAAAAAAGTTTTAAAATTTATCCACGTCCACGTTTTAGCCCACAATTTTAAATCGATTATAAAAATTTAAAAACTGTTCGAAAAATATTGATTCGTTTTTGTTTGTTTGATATCTTTGAAGGATCGTTATACTTGTTACAAAACACTTCAATTATAATATTATTTTCGATTTTATTTTTGATATAATTACAAATTTCATTGTGTATTTATAATATATTCAAAATCAAATGTATTTTGTTAATATGATTGTTTTGTTATGATTTTAGATCGCTTTTCTGTTGTTTTTAATATCATATTGTGGAAGGCTTTGTTTTGGCGTAAACAATTGGGAATCGTGTTGATTAGTTTTCGGCAAAGATCAGCCGGAATTGATGAAACTTTGTATAACAATAGATTGTGTACTCTAAAATAACATACTAAAATATTATAGGCCTACGATAAGCGGTTGATTTATAAAAAAACATCTAAATTTACCATTTTGCCAAGAACTTGAGCAATTCTAATCAGAATCTGTGCCGAAGTATATGTACGTTTTTTAGTGCTTTGTTGGCAGCTACTGATTGCGGTTTTAAGAACAATTACATATATAATAAGTATGTTTAAAATACATTAATTGCCCATCGTATTGATTATTCTTTAGTGAAAGCAAAAATTCTATTTTTGATAAACAGTTGAATTTAATCTAATTTTATCTAAATAGCTGAATCTCGATTCTCATTGATTAAGTTGATTATGTATACATATCGGGAAGTTAATGCAACTTGCCTTAAGGCAAAATTCTACTTGCAACTAGTTATTATACCGTTATTTTGGCGAGGGAGGTATCATTTTCTTGAAAGCGTTCTGGGATGTTTTAGTGTAATAAAAAATGTACTTATTTAATAAACAATGTATATACACATAAGGCATTTCAATCGTTATGTTATACGGAATATTTAATATTGTCAACCCCACCCTCTTTTTCTACTTTGGTATAGGGCAACGCAATTTCGAGTCACTTATTTGGGGCCGTTGGAATTTCCAATGCTTTTGCTCGTACATACTTTTCTTAGCGGATGTTTTCTTTTTATAATAAAGTTCGAATAGGATCGATATCCGAGAATAAGACGGGCTAACCATAAATGATTATATGTTTTGCTGTACAGAAATTTACATGTAGAACGTACAAAGAGAGGGTGGTTGTTCCTCATTTTATTCATTGCATACAAGCACTAAGGCAATCAACATTATCCGCTTTCTGAAAAAACTAGAGGGATGTTTAAAAGAGCCGACGCACGCGATGACTTGACATTTAATTTAGATTATGACGTTTCAATAGCAACATTACGATTTCAAATATTTCTAAAGTAATTTTGTTAAAAGTCTAACAGAAAATTCGAAACGAACAAATAATATTCAGCTATACACCGATGATTTATATGTTTGCAGTTTGATATCACTGTTATTAATGTCAACTATAAATATTATGAATTAAAATGTTTATTTACATGTGTACAACAAATATCAGATCACATCGCGTTTAATTTTTAAGTGAGACGATGTTTTACATTTAAACATAAACGAACATTTAAGATCGAAACGAAAAGGGTTGCTTTCATTATTACGGAATAAAAAAAATGCCTCGCTGAAGGGGAGAATATATTGCCATTTAAAAAGAAAG